AGAATAATCGAAATTTCATAAAATTAGATTGTAAACAAAAGAATTTGAAAGAATCTCAAAAAACTTTTTCAAATTTTATTTGAAATTCTAAAGAATTTAAATTTTTGCAAAAGTTTTCAAAATTCAAATAATTCTGAAATTAGTTTAATTTTTTAATATGTATATTTAATAAATTATTAAAAATAATGAATGTATCGAGGAATTTTAGTTAAAAATACTAAAAAAAATTTGAATTTTGGAGAAGTTTCAAATAATTGCAAAAATTCAATTATTTTGAAAAATAATAAAATTCTTCACAGAAATTCAATTATATTCAAAAAATTTAAAGAAATTCTCGTCAAAATTTCAATTCTCTTTATAAATAATAAAATTCTTTTTCAAAGTTCAATTATTTTCAAAAAATTTAATAAAATTCTTGTCAGAATTTCAATTATTTGCCTCGAAAAATGTAATTATTTTCAAAAATTTTATTAAAATTCGTCGAAAGAATTTAATTATTTAAAAGTTTGTTGATGAAATTCTTTATGAGAATTCAATATTAAGAAAAATTCAATTATTTAATATAAATTATTTTTTTTTATTTAAATAATTGAATTCTCGTAGAAATTGATTTAAGTGAATTTCAGTTAGAATTTTAAATAATAATTGAATATTAAAAGCATTATAAATATTGTTCAGAATGATAAATACTTCAAAAATCCTTTTGACTTGAAAACAATTATTTAAATACAAATGAAAGAACTAAATAAATAATTTTAATAATAAAATATTGTTACTGACAAAATAATGACAATAAAATATTGTTGATAACAAAATAATAATAAGGAAATATTGTTAATAATAATAAATAAATTGGAAAATAAAAATAGTAAAAATTAGGGAATAAAAATAAATAAGATTACAAATAATGGAATATAAGGATAATTAAGTTATGACCGGGTTTCCATCCGAAATAGTCCTTAGTCCCGCCCCAAGATTCAATTAGATTTTTGTAAATGCACCCAAATAAGAGGGTCAAAAATTTTTCGGAAAATAATCAATGAACCCCTCCCTCTCTCTCTCTTTTCTCGAAAGTCGAGACCACACACACACACACCGAAAGATGATCAATTACAACGTAAGCGGGGAAGGTTTTTCTACGTTCTATTTTTCCCACAACCCTGAAGAGAAAATGATGTCGAAACTACGACCGAAAAGATGGATTTTAGTTTTAGTAGCCCAGTAGACTATATAGACTCGAGTTTTTCACGCACTACGCAGTTAGATTGTAGATCGCATGAGCAACAACGCACAACGCAACGCAGAAAAAGAGAGAGAGAGCGTTTACGCAAATGGCGTGTGTTATATCCTGCTGGGGAATACATAGTATACAGAATGGCAGGCAGCAGAGAGTGCTCTCTCAGCAACGATGAGAGAAGTTTTCAGGCAAAGCGAAACCCGAACAAACTATGGCGGCCATGTTTGCGCGGGTGTCGTAGGCGTGGCGGGCGGTAACAACTTAAAGCCCATTCTCCAACAACTTGGGAGAAAGTCTTACCCCCCACCAAAAATCGTTGAGCCTAAAGGTGGGGAGCCGAGGAGCATTTCTCGTTGGCAGTGCCACCTCTCTCCTCGCCACTTGCTTCCCCTCCATTCTCGACAATCATTGGAAGAGCGATAGTCCTCTCTCTCTCTTTTTCTCTCTTGTATTCCACCTTTCTCTCTCTTTCTCTCTTGTGCTCTCTCTCTTGTATTCCAACTCTCTCGTATGGGAATGAAGTTAAAGAGAGAGAGAGAGAGTTTTTTCCATATACATGTGAGTGTGTGTGATTTTCTTCCCCTCACGATCTTCCCGCCCTTGCCCCCATCCCCCTTTTATACCACACGACATACTTCCCGACCATTTTCGGTAAACCAATTTTTTTTTCTGCCCAAATGTTACACTACTACGCCGGAAATTATCGATTCGCCTACTTTTCCTTTTTAGCAATTGTTTCCTATGCATCGTCCTTTAAATTGCTTGTACATTGCTCTATTCAATTTTGCCCCTTTTTTCCTCCAATTTCAGCCGATTTGGTTAATTTCACCAAATTCGTGTCTCAATCCGATCGGGTCGGGTCAAAAATAAACAATAAGTTATTTCTTATTTTTAAATTATAATATAATAAGTTATTTTTTTTCAATTTTTTGAAAACCTGGAAATGTCAGGGAATTTTATAAACCTCGAAAAAACCTGGAAAACTGTTGTTTTCTAAAGTTATTATGTTTATTCTTGAAATCCAATTTCACTTAAATATTTCAAAACTAATTCAATTTTAAAAGAATTGCATTTACAATTTTCATAAGTAGATGAACTTTCAAAAGATTTTAACTTAAAATTTGGTAAAATTTCAATTTTAAATGAATTTAATTAGAAATATAAAGAAACGTAGATTTAAAAAAAAATTTTAAAACTAAAATTTTTCTGAAATTAGTTAAATTTTTGAATATACAATTTAATTGATTATTAAAAATAATGGATTTATAGAAGAATTTTAGTTAAAAACACGAAAACAAATTGAATTTTGAAGCAATTACAAACGATTGCAGAAATTTAATTATTTTCAAAAATTCTAATAAAATTCTTGTCAAAATTTCAATAATTTTCAAAAAATTTTCTCAATTCAATGATTTTTAATATCTACTATACTTTAATAAAAATTCAATTAGTTAAAAAAAATTTTAATAAAATTCTACACAAACATTTCATTATTTTCATAAATAATAAAAATTTCACAGGAATTCAATTATTTACAAAATATTTTCATATTTTATTCAATTATTTTCATGAATAATAATATTTTTTACAGAGATTCAATTATTTTCATAAATAATAAAACTCAATGCTAAATTTAAATTATTTTTAATACAATTTTAATGGAATTCCTCGAAAAAAGTTATTATTCTTAAAAATTTTAGTAAAATTGATCAAAGAAATTTAATTATTATAATAACCTTTGCCATATTTATTTATTAGAATTTCAGTATTATTTTCAATAGATTTCTAAATAAATTTCTTTAAAGAATAAAATTATTTTCAAAAATTTTAATACAAATAATTGCGTAACAAATTCAATTTTTTCAAAATAATTATAATAAACATCTTTAAAAATTTACAAAAATTCTCGTCAAAATTTCAATTATCTTTATAAAAAATAAAATTCCGCTTCGAAATTCAATTATTTTCAAAACTTTTAATAAAATTCTTGTCAAAATTTCAATTATTTTTAATACAATTTTCATTAAATTTCTCGAATAATGCAATTATTCTAAAAATTTTATTAAAATTCGTCAAGAGAATTAAATTATTTAAAAATTTTGTTGGTAAAATTCTTTATGAAAATTTAATATATTAAGAAACATTTAATTATTTAATAAAATATTTATTTTTGTAGTTAAATAATTGAATTCTCGTAGAATTTTGTAAAAAATATTGATTTAAAAATGAATTTCAGTTTAAATTTTAGATTATAATTGAATATTGAATAATAAATAAATAAATAAATAATTGAATTTTCAAAAGGTTTCAAATTAAAATCTTTGGAAATTTCAACTTTTTATACTTTTAATTAAGAATTCTGTAGAATTAATTTTTTTTCAAAAAATTTAATGGAATTTTTTTTTTTGAATTATTTAAAGTTTTTAATTTTTAATATATTTAATTGAAGAATGTCAGAATAATAAAAATTTCCTAAAATTAAATTGTGAACAAAAGAATTTGAAAATTCACAAAGAACTTTTTCATAAAAATTATTAAAAATAATTGTCCTTAAAGAAGAATTTTAGTTGAAAATCCTAGAAATGAATAATCGTTAATGATGAAAATAATTTTTGAAGAAGTTAAAGTAACAAAGTAGTAAGTTTTAATTATTGTAAAACATGAAGAAAGCGAATATGTTAATGAATTTCAAATTTTTGAATATCTTAAATGAAATGTCAAGAAAAAAATTTTTTGTCACGGAAAATAAGAAAATTAAGAATTTTGCCATCTTATTTAAAAAAATCGCGATTTTTTCGACTTTTCTTCCAAACACTGCAACAAAATACAACAATTTTCAGTAAAAAAAAAGTGCAACTTATTTTGATTCTATAATGCGAAAAATAATTTTCATTATTCAAATTGGTAAATTTTTTTACTAATTCAAATGTTAAGAGTATTTTAACATTGTCAAGTAAACTTATATTGTTATTGTGCCATTAGGCTCGCTATTAGGTGAACATAAACCTATAAATAAATAAATAAACCCAAGAGAAGAGTTATTTCAAAAATTGTCCCAAAAAAATTGTTTTTTTAATTTGGAGTAATATATACAGTTTTATTAATTTTTGATTAATTGCTTACTTTAAATTGTCTTTTTAGAAAGAAAGAACAATATAACTGCATATACGTACATATAATAATATGAGGAAACATTCAACCTGTTGTGGTCATTTGTAGGTCCAGTTTTATGGTTGCCATAGAAATGACCTCAAGTGCCATCTGTTTAAATAGAAGAGCCTTGACAAGCGCACACAACAGGTTGAGTATTTCATTATATAGGTTTCAAGTTAAATTTAGTTCTATTTTGCACAACGGCTTCCTATGGGGAATTATTTTATAGTTAAAATGTGCAAATTCTATTATCGTCACTTTATATTGAACTATATAAAAGGCAAAATTTCATATGATGTTTGACAATAAATAGCAAATTCAAAACTAAAATGTGAACTACTATATATAAAAAGTGAATTATATTTTTATAATATATTATATTGACAAAGTAAATTATACTTATTTTATTGACGAAAATTCGAAATTAATTTGTTGCTCTTGGATACTTTTATTAATCAATGTTTATTTATTTATTAATTTAATTTTCTGTTCTTTAAAAGTCATTTATGTATCAAAAATATAAATAAAAATAAATAAAATAGAAATATAAATAAACATTTTAAGTGGAAAATATTGTAATTAATGTTTATTGTTATCTTTTATTTTACAGACAAATGGTTGGAAGGATCTTGCTGGAGTACTTTAAATCTGCAGTTGAATCAAATAGCGAATTGAATTTCGATGAAGTTTTTAATACAGTCAACCAGATCATCAGTGATCCAGGTAAAATATTTCAAAGATATTAAATTTTCAAATATTTAATTAAAATACACATTTATGTAAAATTGCAATTTATTTCACTGGAATTTCCCTTTTTAATCCATTAACTGTTTTCTATTTCGTTAATAATTAAATAGAATTCGAAATAAAAAATGAAAAATGGAAATAGGCAAATTAGAAAGTGAAATAGATAAGTTATTAATTAATTAATTAATTAATCAATTAATTAATCAATTAATTGCAAATTGATAAAGAAAAATATGGTATTTGGTATAAAATTTAATTAAGACATTAAGATGCACCTATTTTGCACAATTCTTTTTGAATTTTTTGCACATTAAAGTTCACAGTTTTTAGTTTAGAATTCTTGTTATTATATTATATATAATAATTATATGTTGTTATTATCATTAATAATTACTATTTAATAAAATAATAGTTTATTAATAATAATAAATACATTAATAATAATTTATTATTATATATTACTTTTTCAATAATGTAGCAAAAAAGCAAAAAAAATGTTTGTTATTTATGATACATTGCAACATTACATTCATTGCATAATTAAAATTTTTCACTCTACTCCAAAAGAAAAGGAAAATGAAGAGTGTAATTTTCACCACCTTTCTTTTCTGCACTAGACTATTAATATTTTTCCACATAAAAACTAAAATACATTTTGGGAAAAATTTGAAAAAAAAATTGAAGCACCTTTAATATTTTCCTACACCCCCCCATTTTTACTATGAATTTAAGGCTTACTACACAATTTCAGCTTTTTAATAGACTCTCCAAATTTGAATTAGTAAAATCTTACTAATTATTAGTAGAATTCTACTAATAATTATCAGAATTGACTAATAGTCAAATTAATTAATTAATAATAGTAAAAAAATAGTCAGAATTAATTTACTGAAAATTAGTAGAAATTTACTAATTCAATTAATAAAAATTCTATTAATTTAAATTTAGAGAGTACCTTTCAAGCAATCTACAATTTTTTCGCTTTTTAATTAACATTTTTTGCGAATAAAAAAAAAATGATAAAAACAAAAAAGCAATAAAAGAAACTAACAAATTTTAATATTTTATTGTTGTTATTCTTATTATTATTATTATTATTAAAAATAATGTGTAAAAGGATTGAAAAATCGCCCAACTGAGTCAAATCCTGATTTACACACATTATATATATGTATATATTTTATTCACACGGGAAATTATAATTATATTGACATTATTGACAATAGATTTTTTTAATAGAAAGTGCATGTAATTAGGATAAATAACGCACCTGAAAAAATTAATAATATCAAAACTAGACAAAAAAAATGTGTTTGCTTTGCACGAGTAAATAATAATTAATGCTTTTTAGCCCTCTTTTCATCATATATAGAAATAGTTTTTTTTCCATCTCTTACACTATAATTATAATACATACATATAGTTTTGAATACCATAATTAGTTGTTTTCTTTTATAATTAGATATCTTGCTTTAATAATGTTTTATATTATTTATATTCATTATATTTATAATAATGTTCTGTTAGTTATTAATCGTATTTGAATTAATTATTATTTGAATTATTAATTATTAATAATATTTGAATTTGGGTCAATTGTTAGTAATATTTGAATTTGAATCAATTATTAATATATGAATTTGGATCAATTATTAATATTTGAATTTTGATCAATTATTAATTTAATAGGAAAAAAATTTTTACCTGAAACAACAAAACTTACTAATTCAAAAGCAAAAAGTCAGTCACTAATTAAAATTTAGAGAATTAGCATTTGAAATAATTATTAATAATATTTGAATTAATTACTAACTTCGTAATATTGTAAGAAAATATTAATTAGTATTTAAATCAATTATTAATAACAATTGAGTCGTGAAATATTTTTTTTTTATAGGTTAATAATTATTTTAATTCTGTTGAATTAATAATTTCAGTGTCACTTCAATAATTTATCATTTTGATAATCATTTATTATTATAAACATTTTATTAATATCATAAACATTTATTATTTTGATAAAGAAACATTTTTTCTTTTAATTAAATTCGATTTAATTCGATTCGCACTTTTTGATAGAAAATACTTAGCTTCTTTTCTATAATCAATTTACTACTTAAATAAATAAATAAAATCAGAATTTTGTATTTATAATTAGAAAAATTTCGTTTTACTAATTATTATATAAATATTGTTTTTTCCTTAAATATTTAATTAGTAATATTAGAAAAAAAAATTGATAGATTTAATGAGAATTGCAATGCAGTCGAAAAATGCATTTTGAAAAAACTTCCAAATCTTTAATTCAGTAAAAAAATAATTTATTCATTCATTAGAAAAAAATTAATTTTGTTTCAAAAATAATGTTTCAAAAATGTTTTAAAAAAATTATGTTTGAAAAATAATTGTTTAAAAAAAAATTAATTATATTCAAAAAGTAGTTTTAAATATTCCCTGTAAGGTTAAAAGACTAAAAAGAGACGAAGTTGAAATTTTTTTTTAGTCTCAAAAAAACCGGAAGGATTCACAAAAAAAATTTTTTTTAATTTGAGGAAAACAAGGAAAGACGATACAAACCACTTAAAATTAAAAATAGAGACTCAGTTCCTTTTAAGGCAATAACACAGGGAATGCAGCTGGTTGGTAAAAAAGAGAGGGGAGAGGTGACGAAAGACTGTTCTGCACTTCCGGTGGGGCACGTGCTCAGCTGGAAGTCATCGATGGCTTAAAAAAAAAAAAAATAATAATGCGAGAGAGTAGAGATGAAAATAAGGAGGATAAGGAGACGAAGAAGAAAGCTCGACGTACCAGAATATTTATATATCTATGTATTTAAAGACAGAGAAAGGAAAAAAATAGGGAGGAGAAGAAATGTCGAGACCCCCATAGGATCGTGACCATTAACCCCTTGGTATTTTTTTTTTATTTTCTAACATTTTTTTCTTGCCTCTCCAAGAATTGAACAAGAGGCGAGGAATATGGAATAACTCTTTTTTTTCTTCTTCTCCCAACTCAGCTTTTTTCCCGTTACTCTATTTTTTTTCTCTCCATCGTCTTTATTTTTCTTTTCTTTTCCTTTTTTTTTTTTTTGCGAAAAAAAGGAAGCAGCAAGCCCATTTCTTTCGCAGTAAACGAAGAAACGTGAAAAAGTTTCCTTATTCGAGCAATACTCGTACTTCAATGTCCCAAAGGATCCAGGAGAAATATTAGACACTCTATTGGTTTTGCGGAATTAAAAAATAAATGAAAAGACTACAGAAAATATGCTACGTTTGTTGTAAAAAAAAAGAGAGAGAGAGAGAAGGATAAAATTGCTTTTATAGAGTTTAAGAAAAAATTTCACTAAATATTTTTTTTGCACGAAAACAAATTCGATGAATCGAAAAAATCGCTGGAAAAAAGGAAAAATTATTATTATTAATAACCAATGGCTTCAGAAAAAAAAGAAAGAAAAAAGTCACGGGAAAGAAAAATATGGAAAAAGGCAAAAATTTTAATAAAAAATTACAATTTTGTCTTAAATTTTTCTTTCCTTTCTTTATTTTCTTTCTTTTTTATTTTCTCTTTATTTTTTTTCTTTATTTTCCTTTTTTATGATCCTATAGTTCTGAACGTTCGAATGAACATAATTTAATTATTTTCTTCTTTAATTTAAATATTTATTACAATAATTTTTTGTCGATATAAAATAAATTAATTATAAAGTTTCTAAGTGTAAAATTTAAGTTTTTAATTTTTATTGCAAACAATAAATTATAAAAACATTTCTAATAAAAAGTGTTTCGTTCATTTGAACGTTCAAAACTTGTGGATCATCCTTTTTTTATTTTTTCTTTATTTTCTTTTTTTCATTCTTTTATTCTTTTCTTTCATTACTTTCTTTTCTTTTCCTTTTTTTCAAAAATCAATTAGATAATTTAAAATATAAACAAAACAATTTTTTCAGATTTTCTCTACATTCTCCTTTTTTAAAAAGGAGAATTTATGAATGTCTCCCTTTAATGAAATTTTCGATTGCATTTTATTTTGTTTACTTTTTTTATTATTTTGATGGTTATATTTTTAGAGCAACATCCGCAACAGCTTCTTGACTTTTTAAAACACGTGGTGTATGTCTTGTGATGTTTTTGATGGGGGGTCGAAAAGGAGGAAAAATTAAGGGGCACGCGACACGCCAGAAATTTTTTTCCCCAGTCACGTACTTTCCTTATATTTTTAGCATCATTCCGGAAGGAAGAAATTATCTCATTTCCTGTCTACTTATAGTCAAATAGTCCACTGAATCGACAAATGTTTCGTTAATTAGACAAAACTCGCGCTTTAAAAGCAAAAGAGAAAAAGAAATTTATTTTTAGAATATAATATATAATCGTTTCTTTAAATATCAAATTACTAAATTCATTAAAATTAGCAAATAAACACCTATTTATTATTTTTTTAAATCAGTAAATAAATAAATTAATAATTAGTTCAAATTTTTCCAGAATTATTATTAAATTAATTCTCCAAAAAATAATTTTTCTATTCTATTTACATTTATAATAATTTGGAAAATTAATTTTTCACTATATTGCAATTGGAATAATTGAAAGAAAATTAATTTGAGTTTGTTTCTTTTGTTTGATATTTAATGTAAAATCATTGTTAAATAGGCGAGTCAATAATTTATATATATAAGAGAGAACGCGCGACATTTGTGGGCAAGGGAAATAAATCAGAGTAAAAAATGAATTATGGATTTTTTTCACGATATATCCTTTCTAAAAAGATTGTTCAGAATGGATGAGTAATGAATCAGGAGTAATAAATAAGGGTGGTTAGAGTGAAAAAAGACGGCACGTGCTGGGATAAAATAGAGGAAAAAAAAATATTTCGATCCTGACCCAGTCTAACCCCGCAGTTAGGACCCTTTTTCTCTCTCTCTCTCTCCCGAAAATAAAATTGTTGGAGCGACTCTCCTCTTTTTTTGAGGTAGA